ACTTGACACGTGTTCATGAACTAAAGGGAGGGGTGGTGGGGGAGGGGTGTGCAGGGTGGAGGGGAATGAAGGGGGAATAGATCAACTGTAATGGCATAATCAATAAAATAAAAAATATATTTAAAAAAAGTAAGCTAAACTTCACCCATGATAGGCACGTGCTCTCAGGATAAAATCTGGTTTTGGGGTTGCCTATTCTGCATTTTGTTATAGCTATGTGGATGCTGTACTCACTTGCTGTCTAAGCAGTTGATGAAAGTGTGTTTTCCCACTAAATTTTAAAAGTTGGATCTAATAGTATTAAGGTATCTAGTCTGTCATACTGCTGGAGATCAGTGTTCCCTTCCCTCTGTACTTGAGTTTTAGCAAATCTGTTGCTATTCAGTTCTCTTATATTTGTTATTAGAATACACTAATTTCTTTATCTCTTTGTTCTAACAGATGTCTGGTGTGCATCCGTCACAATCTGCACACAGTTATGTTTCCTAGTCTTGTTTCCGGCTGTTCTTCCACTGGCCAACTTCTGGTTTATTAAAGACGTGGTGTAGCCACCATTCATTTAATTATGTCATTTTAACCTGTTTAAGTGCTGTCTTTTCTTTTGACTTCAGCTGCTCCTTCTAGCATTGTTGACATTTTGGGCTGAATAATTCATCTTTGTTGGAGGGCTGTTCTGTGCCTTGTGGGGTGTTAGTAGCATCCCTGGCTTCTACCCACTAGATGTAAAGAGCACCTTCCATTTGTGGCACTGCAGATGTTGCCAAATATCCTTTTGGGCGGAGGGGGCAGAATCTTCCATGGTTGAAAGCCACTGTTCTTGCACTCTGTAAATTTGGTCTCAGACCAAGATCTGAAGATCTTGTCTGATTATTCCTGACTGTGGCTTTTACCTTCTGGGTTTTCTGTACATCCTGTCTGGCTTGTACACTTGCCACTTACTGCATTTGGTTATGCATTTCTTTCTCTCGCTCTCTGCTGTGTTTGTATGTGTCTCTGATTTTCCCAAGTTCTAGATGTTTTTGTTTGTTTGCTATTTTGGTCAACCCTATATATTTGTTAGTAGTTCTGAATATATGAATTGCTTGCTCTTTTTCTTATTTTATCATTTTTTATATGGTAGCAATGGGGGTTTGGAAAACTGAATCATTCTTGCAAATGTTGAGAACTTTGAAGGCATTCTAAATTCTAATATTCTATTAATGATAATGATACTTGCAGATAATAGAATTAATACCAATGTAATACCCAGTAATAGCTGGAAATTCAAGACAGTAAAAGATAGTTATAAGAAAGATGTAATTTCCAGTAGATGTATCTATTGCACTGTATAAGTAACCAGAAAAATGTGCAGTAGAATAGAAATAAAAAAATAGACTGACAAATATAGAAAATGGAAGGATTTGTAGAAGCATGAAGTAGGAATGATTAGTTCTGCAGAGTGAGACGAGCAAAGTAATCAGTCTGTCGAAGTAAATTGTTAGGAATGATGGATGTAGCATCTGGTTAGGAGTGACTTGTGTAAAGCTGACAAATGTGATATGTGAGTGTTGGTAGAAAACAAGTTGGGCATAGAGGAGTTAGCTTCTTACTACCAACTAGGGGGAAACATGTATTTTTTGTACCAGTTGGGAAAGATACAGCTCAGTTGTAGATTTTTCTCCAACTAGAAAAAAAATCATCAGCAAATTCCAAGTAATAAAGTGAAGCTTGAATCTGACTACTTTTTACAAGGTGGTTTTCCTCATCAAATTTTCATGAAAAATAATCATAAGCATAATGTGATCATCGTAGAAAAATTAGAAAGTAATGAAAAGTATGGGGAAAGTGAAAGGTAGTTACAGATTAACTACCAAAGCCTAAACCACTATTTTCATTTAGGTTAATACTATTTTCTTGATTTTTATATGGTTTGAGTCTCTAGGTATAGAAATATGATGTATGCACAAATATATAGTGTGTGTATATATGTGTGTTTATATGTATGCATAGTTATATAAAATGGGTTATTTTACATGAAATGCTTTATGGCCTGTCCTTTTTCATTTAATATTATGAACATTTCTCCATATGTATGTTTTTTATATATGTCTATTTACATAAAATGGGTTATTTTATACAAAATGTTTTATAGCTTGTTCTTTTTTCATTTAGCATTATTAACACTTTTTGTCAGAAAAGTTCTTGAAAGGGATATTAAGTGACTACACAGTATTCTATTCTGAGATTATCTCCAGGTTTATTGAAGCATTCACCTGTTGTTAAACATTTAGGTTTTCTTTCATGTATGTGTACACACAAAAACGCACATGAATATGCATAAAACATATCATTTACAGTGAAACAGTCCCAGGAAAAATTTTGACTACATCTCCCATTTTTTCCGAAGAGTTGTGACCTCTGCCACAGTCTGGCTCTTATATTTTGCCCTGCAAAATTCACTCTACCTGTCTTCCTTAGTAAAAAGAGTGCTAATTTTATACCTGGCCGTTATCACCAGTGTTGGAGACTACATTTCCTATCCTTGCCAAGTGTTTAGGTGTGGTCAGAACACTAAGTTATGGTTTATAAGCTGTAAGCTGAAATAGGAATATTAGAAGGGAGCAGGGTGGGCCTTTCTTTCCCTTTTCTTTCTGCTGCCTGCAATGTGGCTGTATTAGCTGGAGTTCCCGTAACCTTGGAATATGAGCTGACTTTGAATAGAACACTAAGTGGCACAGCAAAAGGATGAAAGGAACTGGGGCCCCTGATATTGGAGCTGCCACATCAGCCTTTGATTGTCTACTTCCGGACATTTTCATGGCTGAAATTCTCTCCTTTTGTTTCTTCCTCTCTTAAGTTATTATACTATTGTTATTTAAATTTTCTCTTTTTGGCTGGGGAAGGATATGACCTAATCCTGTCTGATTAAGGATACCATTGTTTACTGCTGCATGTAGTAAAGTGATAGGTCAAGTATAAGAACATGCATTGTGTCATGATTGATTCTAGATCCAGGTTGAAACGAAAATCCACTTTGAGACTGGATAGAGATTAATTGGTATTGAAAAGAAAGCACTTAAAATGATACATAATTTCTGGGGCTCTTTGATAATTATATTGCTGTATTTTTCTCAAGTGCTTTTATTATCACAAATATTCTTTCAGAAAACACTTGATAGCTTTTAGGCAAACCCTCCTCATCCCCCAGCTTCACAAACCATTGAGGATTATATATCATATTATATTTTTTCAGAATAATCCCTTCAAGCCCTGTTATTAAACATCTTGGCTAGTTATTTTGCCGAGGTTAACTCATAAACTTGACTTTTAATGCTCTCATATTAACTTCATTGGAAGAATTTTGATAAATCTACAGTTATAAAAATGTTTCTTAATTTTATTTATGTTTTAGTATTGATTCTAAGGAAGTTTTTCATAACTTAAATAAGTAAAGGATACTATTTTTTTAAATAGGGTTCTTTTGAGCAGTTTTAGATTTATGGAAATTGAGCAGAAGGCACATAGTGTCTCCATATATGCATTTTTCCCAGGATACACATTTTCAACTAGGGTATCCCACTGCATATAATGTTAGACATATTAAAGAAACTTGACACCCTGAACCAAATCTATATTATTTTATAATAGGAAATTCATGCACTACAACAGTCACCAATCATTTTATTCTAATCCCAGGTTTTCCATCCTCAATACTATTAGTGTTTTAGGCAAGATAATTCTTTGTTGTTGAAAGTCTGTCTTGTACATTGAGGATGTTGCCATCCTTGCTGTCTACCCACTAGGTACCCATAATATTTCCCAGTTGTGACAACCATTAGTGTCTCCAGACATTGCCAAATGTCCCTGAGGGTGTGCAAGTACCCCCTAGTTGAGAACCACTGCTGTAATCAATTTATGATGCCCTAGGGTTTGCTGTGTGTTTCAGGTTGGGCTCGGATATAAGGGGTCTATAGTTAAACAAACCTTCACAGGAAATTGGTGTAGGCAAAGTGAGACTCTCTCTTGCCACTGTGGATCTTAGGCAATATTCATAGTCTTACTGAGCCTCAGTTTTCTTTTTTTTTAAATACATTTTATTGATTATGCTATTACAGTTGTCCCATTTTCTCCCCTTCACTCCCCTCCACCCTGACACACACCCTCCCACCCACACTCCCCGCCTTTTGTTCATGTCTGTGAGTCCTACCTACCGTCTGTGCTACTTATTCTCTGTACCGTTTCCCCCTCCTCCTCCCCCTCCCCTGTTGCTAACCATCCATGTGATCTCCATTTTTGTGGTTCTGTTCCTGTTCTAGTTGTTTGCTGTAAAAAAAACATAAAATATTACCTAACTTGAAAGGTTGTTTTGCAAATTCATTGAGATGAATTATATAAAATAATTTTGATTGACTTTAGTGTCTTTCTCTTCAAATGTGCTAGATTGTTTGGATTTATTCTCTTAAATGTGTCAAACACTCATTACAAAGTTCTTATTTCTTTGGGGGAAACTAATCATTAGTTAGATCCCATTAGTTTGGTATCTAATGGTTATGGATTTCCAGAGTATTATACCACGGATGGTTAAAAACTTTAAATAAATGTTCAATGAAGACTGATTTAGGAGGTTAGTTGTATTTTGACTCTTTGTGGTGTTCTAATTATATTGTCACTGCATTCAACTTATAACAGTTAAATGATCTCATGGGTTCTTTCAAGGACTTTGAGCTTCTCAAATTGAGGATAGCATTAGATGTCAGCCAGTAACTTTGTCCTTTGAAGTTTTTGTCTTCATGTCTGAAATCGCGCCCGTTTTAACAGCTTGCGTGTCAGCTGCAGTAGAGGAAGGTGGCCTCTGTCAGCGTGTACTTAGTCCATTCAAGATTTACAAAAACTTGACATAGTTTTCAACTAATAGTGTCCATATCCCATTACTACTTTACAGAATTATAAAACATTGTACCCTAGTGAATGAAGTGCCATCTGTAATAATTAAGGTTATTCTTACTGTTCTATCCCTGCAGAATATTTTTGAAGCATTGGTGAAGGAAGACTCTGTGAATGAAGAAGACTGTTTTAAAAGGAAAATGATCAATGGCTGGCTGTGGCACTGTTATACTGTAAGTGTGGTTTTGATAAAGGAGCGTAAGTTAATAAGTATTCACTTTTTGGAGGGAAAATATGTTAGGCAAAGATATTATAAGTAAAATATAGAGAAGGATATATTATAATCAAGTTCATAATTTATAGGAAGTAATCCTATGTAGTCTTTTAAAAATTGAAAATATGTTCTAATGTATTGAGATGATGATTTTACCAATAGCATTGAAAAATATTCCTAACTCTAACAAGGGTTGATCTGTTTTATGCACATTTGCTTATTTAAAACCATCAGACTTCAGAAAATCATTGGAGTTTGTAGGCTTCTGATTTGTTTGGGTGACTTATTGTTTAGGTTATTTTGCAGAATTATTTATTTGCTGATTTATTTATGTATTTCATTATTTATTTATTTGATTATTTAGTAAATTATTTATCTAATGAATTATTAATACATCTTCATGACATGCTTTAAATTATTTATAACTTAATTTTGAGTTTATTGCTTTTAGACGCTGCATTGTTACTGACTAGTTTAGATTTTTTTCTTTGTGGTTCTTTAAAATTAAAGTATTCGCTCTAAGGCAAAAGTATATTCATTGCAAAGCCCATGATTTTTTAAAAAGTAATTTATGGTCAAGCTAAAATTTTACTTATACGTTAGCTCCAAATTTACCTGTTTAGGGTTATCAGTGATAGAATGTATGTTTGTATATACTCATTCTAGAGTGACACAAATTCATGATATAGCCTATTGTCTGTCAACTGAGATTGAACATCCAAACCTCTGTCCACATTACCCTGTGTATCTCTAAAGGACAGGTATGTATTTCTTACTTGCTTTAGAATAGATAATGGAGTCCTAGTGCTTTTTAGTGGAAAATCTAATTTTACTCCTGGAAAATTCTTAGGAAAGTTCAGAGAAATGAAGTTCAACTTAGATTTAGACCCCTGAGATATAAATTTGATGTTACCTTTGTTTTTAAATCTCCATTACGTGTGATTTGGAAAACAGCATGATCTTTATATAAATTTTTATGTCAGTCCTAGTGATATATTTATTTCAAAGCTTATCGCTTACAGAAAGTTTTATACCACTTTATTTTAATGAACTAAAAAGGACAAAGGTCTTAATAAACGCAAGCTATTGCATTTATATAATAAATGCTTACCTTAGAGAATAATTTTCTTAGGTAGAGTTTCTATTTTTAACCAGTTAAGGTATATCTTCTGTCTCTGATTCTATTTCTTAAGGTAGTGCCTTGCTCAGGCTCGTGTGTTGACTGGGTTTAATGAACAGGTTAAAATGCTTGTTTGGGTAAAGGAGCATCATGTGCACAGCATGGTCTTTGGTGTTTACCTGAGTGAATGACTATGGACTTCATAGTTTCAGCGTTTAAGAGAGAAGTGGCATTGTGCATTGCTTGTAGGATGCTGTTGGAATACAGCGAAAATGGCCTCTGTAGACAGGTTTCACTATAGAATTGTAAATTATGCATACTTATGTCTACATTTCTTATTTTGAAATATTGAATATACAAATGTTTAATTAAACTGTTGCTTTAGTATCTTCAAACACTTTCCATAAAGGAAAGTGGTTTCTTTTGATTTCTGTACATGGGTTTAAAAATGTGTGTAACTGTATAATATATCAGTGACTTTTCTGTTCTGGATATGAACAGCCATAGATATTGTTAGATATGGAATTTTAGTTGAAAATGTGCTTCAGTATGCTAATGTGGACTTCTTTAGAAGAAAAAAGCTTCCTTTCCAGTGTTGAACAAGATCTGTATTAATTGTCATGGTAATATTTCCAGTGCACACTATTAACAAGTATTTTTGTACTACTACCTGTGTCATCTAGGGAGATACACATACGTGTGCACACACATATGCATATACATGAGAAATTTTCCCCTAACATTAAAATAAATTTTCAGGACTTGTTTTTGAAAGGAGACATTAATGGAGATTATTGTAATAATAGCTAGTGTTTATTGAGCCCTTACTCTGTGTCAGTATAGTGCTCCATCTGTTAATGGACTGTTGTTACTCTTCACAGTGAGATAACTACAGTTATTATCTTCATTTTACAAGTGAGGAAACAAAGACTTAGAGGTGCTTGCCACTCAGCTGATAGTAAGTGATGGTGCTGGGATTACGACTCACTCAGTTTGATTCTCAAGGGTCTGTCTTAGCCCATGACAGTTTTGTATGTGTACTTGGTATAATGTTGATTTTCACCAGTTGTTTTATTTATTTATTTTTTAAAGTTATTTATCTCTGATAGGCTGAATTTGCTAACTGTCTTCACTTTGCATAATACTCGGTCATCTTTTCTGAACAGTAGGCAGTACTTGCACTTCTTGAATTTTCTGATTTTATTCCTCTTATAAGCCTGTATATAGTGGACTGGAATTATATCCTGAAGAAGAATTTGTGCCTCCGGGAGATTGTACATTCGCCTGATAGATATCTAAGATCAGATCTTTTGACTTTTAAGCCCAAGATCATTTACAGGACTCTGTTAGGGCAAATCTTATTTTCTTTTTAGAATAATGGTATTATCAGGGATATATATATATATATATATATTTAGAAGAGTGATTCTAAGTTTTTATAGAAATGATTACAAACATACTATTAAATTAATTAAATACAGTGTTTAATAGAGTTTAGTGTTTAAATATGTACATAACAAGGACAAGAAAATAACCAATTGTAATTTTAAACACTTAAACATAATTATTTAAAAGACTTTGGGGAGCCTCAGAGAATAAGGAAAACCACGAATTTGGTGGGAGGCTGAGAAAAAAGATTCTTCCAATCCTGTTTACTACCTGCAGGTAAAGGCAGTCCTTTACCCTGGGTCTGGAACAGGAAGAGCATCAGAAAACAGCTGAGTCTGAGTTAGGCAGCGGCGGAGTTTAGGGGATGTTGCCCGAGTGCCGCAAGTAATTGCATCTGAATGAATGGTAGGGAACTGTGTGAATGGCTCAAAGGTTTAAGTTAGGTTTTTCAAATAATTAATGTTATGTAAGAAAATCCTCAAAACCCGTGATTTAGGTGACATAAAATAATGTCATAGCTAGGATGAACGTAATTTACCGCCCAGTTCAGGACAGTGTTGAGACTGAAGGTATGCTGTAATCTTCCGGGGCAGTAGGTGAAAACTGGGATCTTCGCAAAATTGGGAGCTATGTAGGCCTTAGTGATACTGCAAATTCCTGTTGAATAATTTCTAACAGTCTTATATAACGTATATGTAAGAGGAATCTTAATTCACATGCAGTGTCTTTAAAGATGTATTGTTTTGTGATAAAACTAACTTCCATTATGATATGTTTTTGATAGCTAGTCAAGGCAGTTTGTGACTATGACTTTTATAAAGTACGACTGATGTTTTATAGCTTTTGGAACCTAGTTTCAAGGTGAAAATAGAGAGGTGTTACTGTTGGGAAGATAAAGATAAGTATGATAAAGTTGGTTATAATATAGTAGGTAATTCTGAAGTTTTTCTTCATATCACACAAGGATTTTTTATACTTGTCTTACCTTATAAATATTCTATTTTTTAAAAACACTCTAATTGATGATATATTTGACATTGTACTGAAAACAAATCCTATCTGTTATACCTTAGGAATTTATAATTTTATGTTAAATGAATCAGTGGTCTTTTTTCCCCTGAAAAAACCACATTACATATTATATGTATTGATAAGTTGGCAGCTCTGCCAAAACATTTTCGAAAACAACTGTTTTTCCTTGGTGGATTTCTGTGGGTGAAAATAAGAACACCTAGAAAAGAGATGATTAAAGGTTTCTTTTGTGTGTGTGTGAGTGTGTGTATAGTTTTCTTTTCAGTTTCCTCTCGACATGTATTTATCTAATAAGGCATATTATATTATTAAAGTCCTAGTTAGATTATTAAATTAAATTTCTAGTTCATTTGCACTTAGGTTATAGATGATTTGTTAAGTTGAACTTGGTAACCACACTGGCATATTTTAATTTGAATGTACATTAAAAAGAAAAATTCTCATGCAGTCATTCTTAGTCATTTATATGTATAATATCAGAACTCTTTTTGTTCAGAAAGGCCTATTATGCTTAGGAACAAAAGTAAGAGTTTTCATATATTCTGCCTGGAGTTTTTTAATAGTCTGAAGCACTTCATGAACTACCTGCCTCTATGGTTGTTAAGACTATCACATCACTTATGTGTTGGCTCTGAGAGTGCCTCCTTTATAGTTATGACAAGTAAAGGTACAGCCAGAGGTCATGTTAAGCACAAGATTTCTTTCATACCTCATCTATTTTGTGGATAGCATGTGAAGTAGTTTGGGTCCCTGTATTGATATTTTCAGAGAGCAACCCAAAAGATTGTTCCCATGGGAGTGTTTCAGATGTCTCCCCTCCTATCTCCCAGGTGGTTGCAATATCTGGCATGAATGTGCATTTGAATTCTGGACTAATTAAGTAGAACCTTACTGAGCTAGAGTTTGCACAATAAAAAGGACTTTTATACTGCTAGGATTTTGTAGGGTACTACAAAATAATACTGACATATAAATATAATAATAATATAAAGGTCTTTAATAATGTTGAATACTCTGAGCAAATGCAGTGTCTTAGTTTTGACCACCTTAGTATTGATATTGCTCACTCAAACAGTAGATACCAGATAACATACCAACAACAGCAAAAACAGAATGCGAAATCACACAAATGAAATTACATAAACAAGGCATGCCTGTATATATACAGCCTACTGATCAGATCCTATTTCTGACTTTAATTTATTGGATAAGTACAATCTAGAATGTTGAAAAGGTCATATATAGGAAAGTTTTCTGTTAAAAGCCATTTACTGTATAAAAAATATACATATGTTCCAGAGTGGTTATCAAATGCCTTTAAGTCATCCTCAGTATATAATACCAAAAGGTACAGACTGAAGTAAGGATGTTTGGAAGAAGATAAAATTGTCAAGCTACAAGGTTTTTTGTATAATTGC